GTAGGAAATCAGCTGTTCTGAAGATCTGGGTAGAAGCAGTGGAAGAAACCAGGCAGTTCACACACCTGCCTAGTTCAGAGATGAAGAGAGCCTCTCCCCAGAGATACCAAGAAATCAAACCATGCCAAAATGAAGACATTTCCACAGATGCACCTGAAAAGCTAATTCAGCCCTGGGAGTTCATACGCTGTCTGAAACTATGTGCTCTCTAAATAGAGCACGTTCTTGAAGATGAAACTGATATGGATGAAGAGAAGGAATTGATACCAGCAACTGGACTGAAATGGTAATGAACTTTTTCTAACTTCAAAATTTATTCCCAAAGGGTCTGTTAACAAGCTAGCTACAGCTCTGCCTGCTTCTTTCCCCTCTGATTAATGTCATTTATTGTCTATATGAATTTGTAAGCTGGCAATAGATCCCAGCTGTGGGGCTGGAGTGCAGACCTGGAGTTGATGGCAATTTGCCTGTGAGATTTTGGTTAGCTATACTGTAGATTACACAGAGATTATCCTACAAAGTCATCTTAGTAGTAATGCGTCTGCAATTTAAGTCTTGGAAATACAATGCAGATGAAATCACCAGGCACAAGATTCCATGCAAAGAGCAAAGGAGGAGAGACCAGTCCTATGGGGCAGGAGATGGGGCTGAATATTCCTAGCAGGGGAGAAGAGGCATGTTCTACACTAAGGACTAGGCAGTTCAGTGCCTGCTGAGTTTGCTGTACTAGAAGATGTCTCTGTTGGAAGGACAGCAAAAAATATACTGAAATATGAACTGGCAGGAGCTGTCCATTAACTCTTTGTAGGACCATAGAAAATTAGGTTTGAGAGAGATGCACTCATCTCTTGGCTTAATCATGCTAACCAGCTGTTTGCCATTGACCTCAGCAGCAGAATCTAATTAATAATAATAATAATAATAATAATAGCTATATGCAGCAAGGCTAGAGTTGGTTTGACAGCTGGCTAAGCTTTCTCATGCTCACATCAAGAACTGGTGTGGTTTAGCTAATGCATTGATGGCATTTTAAAGCTCACTTTGCTGTGAGTTTGCAGCAAAGCACCCTGCAGAGGTTGTTGTGTCTTCCACTGACCCTGATGTTTCTTGACTGAACATCTGTCTCTCTTCTTCCTAAACACAACTATCCCCATTCATCACTGATTTAGTCCTGGTTTAAGACATGGACTGAGTGCCACCCAGCCAACAAAAAGCAGACATTTCAGTTCCCTGTGTAGGTCCACATCTAGCTCGGTGGAGATGTTGATGGTACAGATGGCTGAAGTTAAGTGAGATTAATTTCATGCCTGCCCTGGCAGGGGTGCTGGGGACTTGGGACTGTAAATGTGGAATTGGAAGAAGAAACATCAGGAAAGAGGAAGAGTGTTTACTAAGACAGGAAGAGGAGGGAAAACTGGCTGGAGCACAGTGAACTGCATAGAAAATGTACCAAGTGGAGAATGGGGAACATTTGTTTTTCTTATTTTGTTGTTTCTGGGTGTTTTTAACTTTCTTGCTTCTGTGGTAAAGCCACAGAACTCAAACTCTTTAAAGGCAACCACTGCACATGGTATGGCAGCAGAACACAGTGTCCGGTTCTGAGAATATCGTACGTGAAAGCCTTGTTTTGGTGTGTCACATTTGGGTTTTGAATAGGTTTGGCTAGATTTTTGCTTAAATCTGTGACTTCAGTAACACCCACCTCTTCAGTATTTTTATGTAAAGGGAAAAACACATTTCTGAGAAAGAAAATCGGGTTTTTAAACAGCAGCAGAAATACAGATCCTTTCTTTGGCTGGAACTTTCTCAGCCTTGCTTTTTCCTGGGCTGGAAGGGCTGTAGGGAATATACTCTCTGAAAATAATTGAACTGGCTGAGAAGCATGTGAAAAAAGGTCTGATAGGACTCTTTTGATTTCAAATGTGGCTTTAGGACTTATCTCATTTGATCTGTGGCCTTAGCATGATCATTGAGCTTTTTGCTGGCGCTCTCAAGAGTAGGATGGAAATTATTTGTTTGTGTTAATGATTTTTCTGACCTTGTAATCCATGAAATATTTTGCCAAATAAAGAGGGCTGTATGTTCTTTATCTGGGGCTTGCACTTTATAAATGGAGAACATAAAGGAAAAACAGCGGATGACAGATCTGCTACCATGGTAGGGCTGAGGAACAGGGTGTCAAGTGAAGAAAGTCATGGAAGGACTTTGGAAATGTGAGTTTTAGGGAAGCATTAGACGGAGACAAACCTCAGTAAATCAGGTTTTTCCAGGATTCAGACCAGGGTGAGGAGCTGAAAACTATGGTTCAAACATCCAAAAGCTGGGTTTTGAAGATACAATTAATGCAACAGAAAAAACATGAGAGAAAGCTGAACATCAAGGAAGAAAGCAGGGAGACTAAAATTGCCACACTCTGAAGGCAACAGTGAGCACAGTCAAAGGTAGTGGCTTTCCAGCAGTAGGTAAAGAGCAGAGATTTGCTGTGATAAAAGGGAAGGACAAAACATCTCATATCTGATAAGGTGAGGAGAAGATTTTTCCCTCTGAAGGCAGAAGCAGATACTGCAGGATCTTTGTCTGTAACATCTGCTTTTTCTCAGCAGGATCACAATTTCAACATTTTTTTTTAATTGTAGTTGTATGTTGGGCACTTTGCTGCTGGGGGCCACTGTAGCTGGAAGGTTTCTAAAGGTATTTGCTCTCTGGTTGACCTGACAAGAAACACTTGTATGTGTTTGACATCTCAAATTTATTCTGCATTGCATTTCAAATCCATGGCAGCGAGCACTAATATGCAAGTATAATGTGAAAGAAATTCCTCTCATTTAAATGACTGAGATCTGGTACCCATCTCGTGTGAATGAAATTCAGTTGAATGAAGTTCTTTCTTTTATGAGTTTTAATCCCTTCCAGGTTTAACTTGCAAATCTATTCAGTGTATTCCTGTAAGATGAATACCAAGATGGAAAGGTTGTAGGAGCACAGACAAGCTTTTATCTTGTATTTGACCTTCATCTAGCATATTTCAAGCCTTATCCATGTCTGCAATTTCTAGGCACTGCTGCTGTCCAGCATAAATGAGATAAATAAGATGCTTTCACAAGAAAATACAATCTCTTTTCCTCTTTAGCACTAAGCTGTAGTTTAATTTTTACTAAATGAATGATCACCTTATGCCTTTGTTTTCCCAGATATACATCAGAGGTATTTGCCCTTTCAAAACAATTTGCGATCCATCAGTAAAACTGTTCTTTAAAACAAAGACTTTTTTTCTTTTTCCCCCATTATGTTTATTCCTGATAGTGCATTTTGCCCGAAACCCTCTTGCAAACAATATCTATGGCAGGACCTATTTACCAAACTGAACTTGCAGTGCTAAATGAGCAGAAAAGACGAAGGCAAAATAATATGAATAGCACTGTATGTACTGAGATGTAGTTGATTTTTGGCCAATTTGACCTAGTTCTTTCCCTTCTCTTTGCTTATGTCTGTTCCCAGGTCTCCTTGTTAACCCTTCTAAGGAATTAAAAACAATAGGTCTTACGGGCACAATACTTCAGGAATCTCTACAGTAACAAAGCCTGAATTGGTAAAAGGTGGTGTTTCTACCTCAGCATATTATTTGCAGGGAGAAATTAAAAATATATATATAAATATTATGTTTAAGCAGTGGGAGAGACTGAAAATAAATACAGGAAGCTGGGGAAAGAAGAGCTTAGTGACACAGCGAAGAATGCAAAGCTATGCATTTATTTATTCATCAGAGAATTAAAACACATAACATAAAAAGCAACTGCTCTAACACCCCTCATTTTTTTTCCAAAAACCAGAAAGGTTTCTGATAAATGAGACGTGCCAGCAAGAAATCTCACAACCTGTCCCAGGCACAGTAATACAGAAAGCGTGGTATAGGGGACCTGACTCATCCCAGAACCGATCCTATTTACGTATCTCTGGCTGAACATCTCACAGCGATGCTCTTGCACGCAGCACTTGAAACACTTGCCGTGAGCACTGGCAATGAAAAAGTCCCATGAAGGAAAAGGTAGAGTGTTTACTGGCAAAACACTTTAATAAGAATAAAATCACCTAGGGGTTAAATATTTGTGAAGGTACTTCCTGCATTAATGAGTTTGGTTATAAGCAACACAGTTTTTCCTTGAGATTCCCTGTCCCTAGTAAAATTCGCAGCCCTGCTAGAGATGATCCATTAGGAGTTACAGTACCAGTGTCTCTGAGAACCTGCCTTAGGCTGTATCTACTCATACCTCTCAACCTGGACACCATCAGCAGATACAGAAGGAAATATCACATTTATGGAGCACTGAGAATGTAAGCTTTTTTTTTTTTTCCTTTGAATAAAGCAGTTTAAATTCAAATACGCTGATATATCACCAGATCATTTCTCAATGCACACACTTGTCATAATAAATAAGCCAAATACAAGCAGTATCACAATTTATAAACGTGTAAAAATATGCTGAATGAATTAGCTGCCTCCGTTCACCGTTTATAGGCACTACTGGTTGGGAGGCGTGGCTGAAAGAATACCTGGCATCTATAGTACCCATAGCAAACTTGGATAGCACCTTTTAACTAATAGCCTTGTTGTCAACTTTACCTACAGAGGTACTGACATTTCAGTGTCTGTTTTTGTAATTCCTAAAGTTACATGCAAAATGGAAAAGAAACAAATTCAAAGAACTACCTAAGGTGCACAAGGTTGCTTTGATCTGCCCACTGTGCCAGCGATGGGTTGGAGAATACATACGTTACTGAGACAAAAAAAACCCAACCTGTAGAGCTCTGAATTGTCTGCAGTTGATGGTTTGTGGGCACAAAACCTATTTCTCTCATTTCCTTAGAAACACAAATTCCTTAAGCTCTTTAACATCTTTCCTTACCTGAAAGAAGTCAGGATGTTACGAACATCCTCCAGCAGCCACCACAAAAAAGTAAATCATACTTTCCCTCCCCAAAAGGCAGAAATAGTCTTTTACCTGACTTGTTCCCCTTGATGGATCCAAACAAGAGCCACATCAAAAGGCACTTGAGCTCCATGGGACTTGTTCACATCTTTTCTCCACAACACTGAGGATGGTGAAGTTTCTCAGAAGCGATGGGCTGGTGCCGACCAAGCCAAGGAGCTGTCTATTGCTTGGTTAGACCGGTGGGGATCATCACCCTGTGTGCATGGCAAGGACTTTGCTCTTTGGTCAGCAAATCATCGTTTCGCTGGCTGGCTCTGCAAGAAAGAATAAATGCTGCTCTCTGTTCAGGTATTAGTAGCTTTTATCCAGGAAATCAAACTTAATGCTCAGTGTGGCGCAGCGTACCGTCGTGTGTAGGAAGTGGTTTGACACATCAGAGCTACCGACTTCAGAGCTGTTGCACTACCGCTGAGGTCAGTAGAAAGGGGGCAAGATTTGAAGGGGTTTGTGTAGCCACTGAACCCCAAATCTGTGGCTAGACAGGGATTTGAGAGGCACCATTGCTGTAGAGTATTTGTCAGGCGTATGACAATGGACCTCAGACACCATCTGTGGATTCTACCTACAAAGAAAAAGTCCCATGGGCTATTGTTTTGGCTTTTTGGAGGTCTTCATCTGCTGATCATGAAGCCACACTCCATTCATTTTTTGATGAGTGACAGCTGAGCTTCTGAAGGATGGACAGTTTGATCCAACAAAATCTATGAGGATGAGGCTGGCAGGTTTGGAAAGGGTTTCCTCTTGTTTCCAAGTTGTCTGAGCTTGCCACACTTCAGTGATATTGCTGCTTTTAAATATTAGTAGGAAACTAGAAATGATCAAGGAAGTATCACACTTGATGTAGTTTTTCTACAGCCATTTCCACAGAAATTATTATCTGTTAGTACCTAGAGAATTAGCTGGGATAAACTATGGCAAAACAGATTTAAATTACTTGTGGTAATCTATCATGACCATTATGAGCTGGACATTTACTTTGCCTTTATAAACCTTTAATGAATTAACTCTTCCTAACAGGGACGTTAAGAAATAGATGTGATATATTTTTAAATCCTGCTACAGCTGCACCCATCAGTCATAGCCACAGACACAGAGGATGTTGTGTTATTATCTTTGTTCCTCACTATCAGACTTTCCTGTCCCCAAACCCATAAGGGTGATGGTCCTGTGAAAGGCAGCTGACACAAGGGAGCTTCTTTTGAGTGAGACCTAAAACAGACCTTTTTGGGAGGGGTGAATGAAGACGTCATATCTATGGGATGTTGCACCAACGTGCATCTTCTCCCCCAGCATGTGGAAAGGTGCAAACAAGACTTTAGGCAGTGCTCATGAGAGCACCAGACCTCTGCTGATAAATCTCCCTTTGCCCTTTTCATGACATCTTTTGTGCAGCTTCACTGATGCAGATGCCAAGTCCTCTTGGAGGGTCTGTTGGCAACGAGGCTTTGGCCAGGAGATTACTGCCCAAACCCAAATTCAACAGGGCACAGAGAACAAGCAAGACTTTTGAAGCAAGCGCTGTGGGTAAAAAGTTTTCTTACCCAGGGATTGCTCCATGATCCACAGATATTTATTGACTTTGCTTTAGTACTTAATAATCTTTCATATTTAATAGGATAACAGAAAACACTCATGCCAAAGTCCACTGAAGGACTCAGAGAGATTTGCTCTTGAAACATCTGTCTGAAAGACATAGACACCAATTCTTTACCTTTTTCCAAGATACCTGGAGATATGCAACTGCATATACAGAACTGCAGCCATCTGGGTTGGTAAGACATATTTGTGACATTGCACAGAAAGAAATCACAGATTGTTTATCACAATTTGTCCTTCCCCTACTAAACATGTGGTCTGTTCCTTGGAGATGCAGGGATTTACTTCCCAATATCTCCTTCTCTTTCTTGCCTGGTAAAACTATTTAATTTCATAGCTCTTTGCACAATGGAGAAAGAGATAGGAGACCTTTTCTGCAATCCTTCAGCTCAGTCTGCCTCTCTCAGCTATTCAGAATCCTGCCTGCAATTAATGATTGCCAACTCTGAGAGTTTGGACTACGGATGCAGATTCTCAACAAGGTGAATTTTTCCTTTTGCTGAAAAGAGGTCTTTTTTTGGCAGGTAAGCTGAGATGCCTTCCCTCTTTCCTGCAGCCATTTGCTTTCAAGCAGCAAATCTCAGTGTAGGTGGATAATAGCCACTAAGATTTTATTAGAAATTGTGAGTTTTATCCTAGCAAGAACATGCAATGTACAGTCAGTGTTGGACTGGAAGGAACGGTGACCCCAGGTGGCTAATTTCTACAAGCACAGTTTGCATGAGAGACCAGTAACTCGGCTTTTAGACCTTTAAAAGGTCAGAAAAAAAACCCAGTTGCTGCTTGTGAGAGCAATTAGTTAGGTCAGCTTTGTGAAATAGGTCAGCTTGCTGAACGATTCCAGGAAAAAACGGTGCTGCTTCTGCAAGCAACTGACCCAAAGTAGAGCGAGGCAGAGAAGGGGAGTGTGAGAACAGAGAAACCCAGCAAGAAGGGAAAATGGCACAGAAAAAACAGGGCTTTATGAGGAAAAAAAGCCTGTAATTATCATTATAATTTAGATAATTAACCTTAAATGTTAGCAACAGAGGTGTGTGGCAATAAAGGAAGGGAGGTGCTGTGAAAACTCAGTGGAAACCTGGAAAGTGATGGAGGGAAATAGGAACTTCTGGAGCATCTAGAAAGGTACAGGGGGAAAAGAAGGTGCTGGTGTCTCTGTTGCTTGTTGATTTTCTTCCATTGACCACCAGAGTTTTGCTGCTCAGAAAAGTCTTCTCTTTGAGCAGAGAGCTGGGAGGAAAGGAAACCATCACATGGCCTAGGTCACCACAGAGAAGATTATGAAGATTGTTTTTATACAATGCCACAAGACTGAGAAGGATGAAGAAATGAAGTTGCCAGAGTAAGACACAGACACAGCTCCAGCTTTCCTTGGGTCTAGGCTTAACAAGGGCCTTTCAAAATCCCACAAGTGCTTTTCAAGATCTTAGTGCACGAGCTCATTTGGTCTGGAGGTCTGAGTAGGCTGAAAGCTCATTTTACAGTGTATCATCTGGTACAGTTTTATCTGATGAAAAAAAAAAAAAAAGCAAAACCATTCAGAAGGTGAGGAGAAAATGAAAATGGGACATGGGAGACTTGGCCTCTTTATGTTACCATCTCAAATAAGGCAAAGCAGTATTAAATTTTCAGTTGAGCATTGCTTCTTTTATAAATCCAATGATGTTGCAAGAAAAACCAAGCCAGATTAAAGAAAGAACAGCATCATGATCTTATTGCAACCCTGTTCAGTTCAAAGTAGTGGTAAATATTCACATAACTCTCTAAAATAAGCAAGCTTTGTGTTTTCTTTCTTTAATTCAACTTTTCTGTTGTGAATTATTCTTACATGAGCCCTCTATTCCTGGAAATACCATTTCATAGGAACCTTGCCTGGGGGAGTGGGAGGTGGCTCTAATAGCTAACTAAACGCTGTTAATCAGTATATTGCTTATATGCCCTTGAAATTATGGTAATGGTGGTTCTTAACTCACATTATTTAGTTTTTAACTCAGGAGGAAATGTACTGGGAATTTTGTTTTAGGCATGGAATATGATGAATTTTTTACACCTAAATCAGCCACTCTTGGCTTCCTTTACAGATTACTTAGAATCATAGAATCATAGAATGGTTAGGATTGGAAGGGACCTTAAAGATCATCTAGTTAGAGATGATCTAACTTAGAGGACCATGCTTGATACTTTCAAGAAAAGTCATTAAAGATGCCATGCACAAGGGCCATTCCCATCCTCTACAGCTGCATCCAGCTCTGCTGCAAAGCAAAGGTATGGGGAAGCCCTGGTTATGCTAAGAAATGCTGGAAGTGATCATCAGAACTGCTAGAAATGATCATCAGAAATTTTTCACCCAACTTAATTATTTACAGTGGCCAAGCTGGTTTTCACTGCTTTTTATTTCCCATAAAAATGAGACAGAGCTGACAAGTGGCACACAAATTTTGCATCTTAAATGGAGCTTATTTACAAGGGCAACAAAGATTTAGTCACGAAAGCATTGTACGGTCAACATAGTTGTCAAAGTTCCCCCTTGAGTCAATGGAGACAGTTAACAAGTGCATCTAGAAAGTGATTCACATCCTCTTCTGGACATCTAAATCTGTGGCATGAATCACCCATCTGAAATTCTCTCCTTCCCTCCCTCACATCTGCGGACAACCGTTAAACCAGCGTAAGTAGTTTAAACCAAACACGGGCTTTTTAGGCAGCTACAGCTGAATGAGATGAATCCACCTTGAAAATCTGTACTGGATTTCAAAAGATAATTTAAATTGGTTATTTAGTCACTGAGGAAAGTCTTCCCTGTCAAATGTGTTGACATCATTCATTATAATCTTATTAACTGTTCCTTTTACTGCTGCTGAGTTCTGTGGTAAACACATGAGGACCATGAAACTGAAAGGGACCTCAAGGGTCCAGTGTTGATCTAAATCCATCAACCAAGTCACTGTATGTCCTTTATCAACTGATGATGCTCCATCTCAAAGGTTCGAGGAGATGTGTGCATTGGAAAGTACCTGGTGTGTTCCTACCTCTCAGCAGGTACCAAGAGGGTTTCATCCTCTGGTCCAAAGTGGAGATCAAGAATCTACAGTTCTTCTTCCTCTGCGTTTATCATAGTTCTCACCATAGCTTTCTCTATGAATATTTGTCATACTATGGCTCACTGCTATCAAATTAAGAACATGGGCCTTTTGTCCACATCCACAGAGATATATAAAGGTATGGGGAAGTTCTGGGGCTTATAAAAAGATGGGGACAAACTTTTTAGCACGGCTTGTTGGGATAGGATAAGGGGCATTGGTTTTAAATTGAAAGAGGATCAATTTAGACTAGATGCTGCTATCAAATTAAGAACATGGGCCTTTTGTTCACATCCACAGAGATATATAAAGATATGGGGAAGCTCTGGGGCTTATAGGCTCTGAGCAGCCAGGTCTAGTTGAAGATGTCCCTGTTCACTGCACTATCCATTGGGCAAACAAGGGCCTC